CAGACCGGCTCTGGGGCCCACGCAGCCTATCCAGTGGGTACCGTAGACTCTTTCCCTTCGGGTAAAGCGGCAGGGGTGTGAAGCTGACCCACTCACCTCCATCTAGTGTCCCAAGTCAAGAAAGGTGGAGCTATACCTCCACTCCCCCATATCTCTTACTGGCATAATGCTTAAATAGTAAAGTACGCGGACAACTTTACGTACCTTAACTTTACCTCACTGAACATTTTGAGACTTCCTCTCGTTACTAATACTAACTGGTGATAAATGATGATGTGAGGGCACCAATATTGTAATCTGTGCGGTGTTACATCTCTGAAAAGTATGCAACTTCGGTCACGGTTTCTTTAGGGACAGAAAATACTTCGGCGTGACGACAAATCAATGATTCAATGCAACTTAACCTGCGACATATGTACTCCAACAGCAGTATGAGATGTAACAATACCTACTATGTCTAATGTATCAGGACCATAGACCACCAAGCCAATGACAAGTGTTCTTAATACCGGGCCAGACACTCCCTTTTCTCGGCATGTCTTAGCAGAGAATTCCACAAGGACTGAAGCAACAAATTCTAACAACCAGGTCTCGAGGTCGTCCAGTCCGGCGGTACTTATAATGCACCCACAGCCAGGTATGGAGAGAGGTGGCGGTTGCAAACTCGGGCGAGAGACGCCACGCTTCAGCCGAGATAAGTTTCCGGAGAATGGCCATGATCGCTCCTTCCCAGTCCTGCCCAATTCACTACACTTACGGAATGTCTCCACAAGCCTGCAGTAACCTGACTGTTTCTCCCGTGTATCCTGTTCACGGCCATGGCAAACATTCCGGAAAGTTCGCTTACTTCCAGGGATGAGAACAGAGGAAACCATAGCTTGCAACTGGAAAATAGCCTAGGTGGATACTGTTCAATAAATAAGCATCTACACGTAGACATTTACAAACTTCTAACTTCACAAAATGAGATAATTATTAGAACAGTTTTCGACGCGTGTCAATTACCAGAAAATAGTTTATAAGTTTAGCATTCGTTAAGCCTGAAAAAATGGGGCGTAAGCTTCAACTACGTTAATACTCTCTCATGTGTGTCGTAAAAAGCGAATAGGAAAAAAATATTACACTTAATATTCTGTGTATGCAGATGTGGGAACTGCCCACATTCAAGCAAGTGTGACAACGCAAGCGTCATTGCTTAGCAACAACGAGTAAACAACGGTTGCTAGGCAAAAGCAAGTAAACAGCGGTAGCTAGGGAACTTGTAAACACGGTATCTGGCAACAGCAGTACCTATTACGTAACCGTTTTCTATATGTCCGACTCTAGGCTACATAAGAAGATACACTGAGTTACAGTGGCAATCTAGTCCTACCGTTCTACAATACCAGTTCAGTGTTCAAGCAGTTCACTATTGTTGTTATCCGTCTGTGTATACTGTGCAGCTGCAATAAATCCTATAGGACAGTTCAACTAGTGGTTGTCTCTTCATTCATACGACATCCCACACATGTTTCAACACTGACTAAATGAGGTAACTGATTCCTTTCCAGGAACCTCGAAACACCAGGCCCAAGTCCGATCATGTCTAACCTCGTGCAGTCTTGCAGATAATAAAACACGTATCTGTGCCAGTTGCCGTTCATGAATCTGTGTGCTTATTGGACGCAAATGAGTTTACTCTGAATACAAACGCACCCTCACTTACATCGATTACATATATACACGAATATGGATCCAAGTATATCTCGTATATACAAGGATACACGCGCATCTCCATGAACCTAGGTCGATCATCTGCATACGCATTCTTACGAACCGAGACAGAACATATACTTCAATACACATATATACTGTTACACTCGTATACACATACAAACTTAGATACGTCATTTATGCACACATAAGCCTATGAATCTACACTAATTATGTATATCCAAATACGTGAGCCTAGTCTGAAGACGCATGCACACACATATACACATCGTATACCTAAAATGAGTATGTCTTACACATATGTGAAACCAGATTCAGACACAATTACATTAACCTACGCAGATCACGTATGCGTTCACATATGCCTACATGAACCTACAAGATCACGTATGCACACATACATGAACTTACAAGATCACATATACGTTCACATACATAAACCTACAAGATCACGTATGCGTTCACATAGGCCTACATGAACCTAGAAGATCGCGTATGAGTTCACATACTCGTAGATGAAGCCAGAAGATCACGCATGCATACATACATACATACATACATACACACATACATACATGAACCTAGGTAGATCACGTGTACAGTCACATACATCTACAAGATCACGTGCCCGTTCACAGAGGCCTATATGAACCTAGAACATCGCGTATGATTTCATATAGATGAACCTAGATCACGTATGCACACATACATGAACCTACAAGATCACGTGTGCATTCACAGAGGACTATATGAACCCAGCAGATAACGCATGCACACATGTTATGACCTTAAAAGACCATAAATGCACAAACAAATATAAATACACGCAGATCACGTACGCACATATATTAACCAAAGGAAATCGCATGTACATACATACATGAACCTATAGCAACCAGGTGCATTATAGTGAGCGCTGCTGCGATTACACAGTCGAGGCACCCAACGAAATAAATTAATTATAATTTTAACAAAATTGATAATAAAATATACCAATATTTTAATTGATTTTATTTCCTCATTTACCACTACATGTTGTGGTGGCATCATTAGGTGATTTGTAAAGAAATAAATAGAACAATATTAATTAGTTCCAGGGATAAATGGATCCATTTCGTTGATGGGGTATATCCGGAAAGTAAAGATACAAGTCCAGTACAAATGCAAGGGATTTATTTTCCGGAAATGGCAGTGCTGCCGTGTGAGATAGGAACCATATGACGGGGCTGAGTAGGGTGACCAACTTTCGGTCATGAATTTAAGGGAGATTTAGTTAGGGTGACCAAGTTTCGGTCATGAATTTAAGGGAGATTTAGTCACGACAAATTTTGCGCATTTTTAGCGGCGCGGCGTCAGTCCAGCAAACATTCCTGGAATGGATAATATTAAACAAAACAATTAATTTACATTGTACATAATATACAGGTCACAATATAGAATAAATTTTACAAATTTGCATGTTTCTTAGTCCTAATCTATATGTATTTGTCCACTGATGCTGCAGAACTAAGTATTTTTTTATATTCTTGTGAAAATTTAAAAAACTCTTTACAACTATAGTCATAATTAATTGCTACCACTAGATCTGACTTAATTAGTTCTAAGCTGCTTTGATTTCTCTGATCAGTCCATTTATTGCTCATCAGTGAAAAAATTCTTTCAGTACGGGCATTTGACCCTGGGAGCCTAAGCTCTTAATAAGGTTTGGCACATCAATTTGTTTCTTTCTTAAATCACTGAAAATATTGACCCAACTTTGTGCTATACGTCCTGTTTTTACCACATTCAGAACACTTTTTGCATTAGAAAACTCTTCATACAGGCCGTCCTCATTTACAAAATCAAGATTAAATTCTTTTACAATGGTTTGAAAATGTCTGAAAGAAAGTTCAGTGTTTAAATTTATTGGCAAAAGACAATGGACAGGATTTGCATCTGATAACTCCAAATTCTTAGAAATGTACTTGTTCAAGCAACAGAAGAAATTAACAAAATCATCTCTAGCACATTTCTGCAGGGGTGGATATTCCGCTATCGATTAGTATATGCTAAATTTTCTATGGATTATTATAGGTCATTTTTCGATATATATCGATGAGTACCTCTAAGTCTAAACTGTGTTTATGAGTTTATATCGGAATGTATTTGGCGGGAATAATATATAATTTAAATTTTGCGATCTTGATTGTTAATGAAATATACAGGAGAAATAGAAGGTCAATACGGGAGCCGGGAGGATCAAAAAAAAAATTAGCTCTAATACGGGAGATACCGGGAAATACGGGAGAGTTGGTCACCCTAGGGCTGAGTTACCCGGCCACAGTCATGGCAACGTTGTGCTCTCACTGTAGGTTTAAAATGGCCGTGTCGATTCAAATTTCGCCAAATGTGAAGATCGTGCAGTAATTCGATTTCTTCATGTGAAAGGAGTAACTGCTGATGAAAGGCCGCGCCACAGCTCAAGCGGTTAATCGCTAACTTCCTACCGCGGCGGCCCGGGTTCGATCCCGTGTCTGGTCAAGTGAGATTTGTGGTGGACAAAGTGGCGCTGGGGCGGGTTTTCTCCGAGTACTTCGGTTTCCCCTGCCAATCTTCATTCCACCAAATTCTCCATCATCATAATCACCCGGGGCAGGCTACAATAGGCCAATCAGTGGCCGCCGTGCCGAGTGGACCCAGTTGGACTCCACCCATTAAGCGAATTTAAAAAGAAACTGCTAATGAAATTCATCGCCCACATGTTTCTGTTTACAGCGAAGATTTTATGAACAGACAAAACGTGGCAAAATGGTGTCGTGAATTTGAAGCGGGAAGAAGATGTTCATGATGACCATCCGTTGTCACTGATGAAAATATTCGTGCTGACAGACGTTTAACCTTCGATGAACTTCATCAACAATGTCCAGAAGTGTCAAGAACTGTTCTCCATGAATAAGAGAGCAGGCGGGAGATTTCTACGATGCTGGAATAAAAAAAAACTCCTCTTTCCCAGGCTCTAAGTGCATTGCAATCCATGGTGACTGTGTCGAAAAGTAAATAGAGGTGTGCTGTAAAAGTTCTACAAGTGAATACCTCAAAGAAATGTTTTACAAATATTTCTGGCATTTGTATCTTTACTTTCCGGATATCCCTTGTACTTTCGAAATCAGAACTCATGCCTCTATCCTCATTCACGTCTATCAAAGACGAATAAAATTAATGGCAACTGAAAAGTAAATGTGCAACATAATGCGCCAGAAGAACACGCAACTCTACTCGAGGCCATTACATTGGGATGCTCTACTTACGTGTGCGATTCCGTTCACACCATAGCCGGAATTGACGAAACCCTGAAAGCAGAGAATACAATTACTTATAACAATGTACGTATCAATAGGAATTTCAAGTTCGAGGTGGTATTACGGTATGGACATCTTCCAGAACGTTCCTAGTCTCAATGTTGTCTGGCCTGTACACCCCAACTGTCGTCCACTTTCATCACTTCTACACTTAAAAAAGGGGGCAGTACATTCCTCCAAAATGTCGGAAAGCATTTCCACTGGTACACGGTGTCAGATCCCAGGAGAAAAGGTCTAAAAATTGTACCCATAAATAAGACTTAAATATGTATTTAATGCTTAACAAACTAAATGCCAAAGTTTACTTGGGCCTTCAAAGGCAATGTACCAATTCTGACTGACATAAAACGCTCAAGTGTCACATGGTCAGCGCAACGATCACCACGCCCGTTAATCTCGGTTTTCTAGACCGGAGACGCTATTTCCTTGAAACAGCTCCTCAATTATCTTCACTACTTATCAGAACATCTGGTATCGCCGAGAATCGATCCCGGGACGTGTGGATCTGTAGCCAGGAACTCTGACCACTAGACCATAGAGGCGGTCAGCGATCATAAAATATTAGATACTAAGACGTAACATTTGGAATACACATTAGTTTATGGGATGGATTTATGAAAGAGCGCACAATATAAGAAATTAAAATGAAAATTTGTAAATTCAAAAATTGGATGGAAATATGGAAAAAAAAAAAGAATATGTAAATAAAGGCTTCGTGATTTCAACCCCCCCCCCAACATGTGTATACAACTAATCCTGTTCACAGATCTAAGGATAATGAAATAATAATAAGAGCAATATTGAAATAAAACCGAAACGCAGTTCAACTGGGCTTACGCATGTTTCCATCGCGCTCTGTTGCACAGTACCTCGCATTCAGTGTCGATATATAAACAAGACCTAACCATCAGGAACTAGTTAATAATGATAAAATGAGCATTAAACTACTTTAACTTTTTAACAAAATTATTATCAGCATTCAGCAGCACACTGCTAATCACAGACTTTTGAAATAACGAACAAAATTTTAAACCGTAACAGAGACTTCAGGATAACTTCCTCCAGCACTGTTATATCTACTGGGATGTCATATGACGAGACAAATCTCAGAGAATCGAACCTGCTCGGCTTCTTGGGAGTCTCTGGGATTAGAATATGGATAACGAACCAATATATCTGAATAAACTGTCGGGTTATAATGTATACTCGTATGCATTTGATCAACACGTCCAGTAGGTACCTGCAGCTCCAGTCCTTCATTCCAACGTCGGAACATTTCTGCATGGAAAATTCCAATTCCTCAACTTTCCGGCCCAGGTATTTACTCAATTTAAGATGGGCATTACTGCAGGCATGAAGAAAGCATAAACTGCGGATTTCAGAGGTTAAGTGCAACGATGAGCTCGAATACAATTTTTTATTTCAGAATTTACACCGATTTATGCACAGGTCCAATATAAAATGTTACATAAATATTTCAAAAATACATCTTTTTTCTCGAACAATTCTCCATTAATGCTATATAAAATTATATGAGACACACGCTTAATTAATAATATTGTCACGGGCCCGGGTATCCGTGACAAATAATTACTGGGTTGCGACTTTGAAGGAGCTGATTTCTTGGATAAGTACGCCAGGAGGAACTACAGACAATTATCACACACGATAATTATAACACTTCGTAACTGCGAAAAATGGACACACTCTAATGTGCCTTGTAAATACGCCACACGAAGGCTTCTGTCAGTTCTCCTCTTGCTGATCACTGATCTGATCTCCGCCCTGGTCTTCTCCAGTATTAACGTCTTCCTGTCGAATCTGCTCGAACAGTGTTCACTGATCCCTATACAGGCTCGGCACGGACCACACACAGAAAACGCATTGCTGTTTAGCAACGGATATTATGTATTCAATTTCTTTATTAGAGTCCGCCACAACGCAACAATATAGAGGTCAAGGCTAAAATTAGCTTGGCTACATGTTTCGGCTTTTAAAGCCATCATCAGGCAAACACACGACTGCCATATTCACATTGCAATATTGCAATTGTATATTCCTTACAGAACGGACAAATACACTGTAAGATGAGGCACCGGCTAAAAAACTAACGTCAAAACTATACTACATCTACACCACGGGCCTCCAAAGCAGTTTATTACATGTATACAAGTCTGAATATACCACTATGTCCGCGGGAATATAACAAAATTGCAACAAACTCACTTGATTTAACATTACTTTATGTCATAACTATCGTTTTAATAAGTTTATAGTTCAGTGTACTTTTATGCCATATATTTTATAAAGTACTGTCAAGTATCCAGCTTTACCATCGCAGTTGCAGTTCGGCAGTGCCTGAATATGGTAGTCGTGTGTGTGCCTGATGATGGCTATAAAAGCCGAAACATGTAGCCAAGCTAATTTTAGCCTTGACCTTTATATTGTTGCGTTGTGACGGACTCTAAAGAATTGTATATAATAACACAACAGAACGCAAGCAATGAAAAAAAAAGGATATTATGTACTGTTGTCAGGCGATGCACTGCCTAGCAACTGACGCCCTATTGTTGCGCATTCATTGCTCTGATATATGTTTACCGATCAGTTGCCTAGCAACGGCGCAATCTGTCACAATATGAAGACTTACACTGTAGTGAGTCCACAAATGTTGTGAATTTTTGTGTATGTAACTGTTAGTCAATGCTGCCATCTGCGGGAAGAGATAACGTGATGTGGTGAGATTTGCTGTCAAGAATCAAAAACAGATAAATATAGGAAGCGTGACGGGAACATGGTGCCGCCAGATCAAGCAGGCCTAGCAAATGGTGCGGAGCGTCGCACGAGAATTCAGCATATACAGAAACTGTAAGGTAAAGATGTCCCTATACTTAATTAAGCACTACGCCATGAAGGTGTTACACCCGCCCCACACGCTGTACTTCCACGCGGTGTATGCCTAAATTCAGCGGAATGAGTCTTATATCCCAGGGGTACACGGGTGTTGGCTCGCTTACGTCGTTTTTTTGGATGCGGGCTCGATCGGTTAACCCCACCCTCACTCCCTGGCTTCTCCTCACTGACTAACTCCTTACCCCCGCTGCTGCTTCCAGAAACCACGTTCTTAGCCATCTCGAACTTTCCACTGGGAGGTTTTCATGACCAAATACACGGACCCCTTCCGGTCTGCACACCTTCTAGAAGTTTCGATCCACAGGTCCTCCACCCCCACAGGCACGGACGAAAGGAGGTATACCTACACCCCCCCCGAATGCAATGGACTCGCCAACCACCCTTCTGTCCCTCGTAACAAAAGGCCAGTTCAGAGGACCATGAACCCTCCGGGGCATCTCACTTCCACAGCCAAACCCAATCGCTAAGCATAAACAGATAAGATACCTCCGTGAAGGGTGGGTACGGTTACAGTGTATGGGGGAGAGGATGTACAGATCCACATTTTCTTGATCTCGGCACTAGTTGAAGGTGATTGGTCAGCTCCACGTTCCAGGCTGCTTTACCCCCGGAGAAAGAGCCCCCGGTACCCACTGTACAGGACGCTTGGTGGCCTCCACAGCCGGTCTGCACGACGTGAAGAAAATTCTTGCGCCACACCGTGACTCGAACTCTGACCCCTCGGTCGTTCAGCCAGTAGCCAGTCGCTTTACCGAGTGCGTCATCCCAGCTCCTATGATATAAACTATAAGAAACAGAAATATTACTATCCTCCCTTGCGCTGGCCGTCCATCCACATGGAAAGAGCGAACGATGCGTTGCCCAGTCCTGCTGAACACACTGGTCCTGGCAACTGGATCAGCAACAGATGCGACCGGAACACGAGAGCGACCTCGCATTCAACGGCGTTAAAGTGTTGGTATACAGGCACAGTTTACTAACAACTGGTGCTAGCTGAACTCTCTGACCTAGTGGTCAGAGGTCCCGGGTTCGATTCCCGGCGCTACCAGATTTTCTGAGAAGTAGTGGGTCTGGAAAGGGGTCCACTCAGCCTCCTAAGGATAACTGAGGAGCTATTTCAAGGAACTAGCGACTCCAGTCTAGAAAAACCGAGATTTACGGCCGTGGGGATCCGTTGCGCTAACCACGCGACACCCTCTATCCGCTAAAATTCGTACTAACTTCGCCGACAAGCGGCGGTTGCTCGGTCGGTATAGTTCGCATGCGAACTACAGGCCACGGAGTTTGTATTTTTAACCCTCCCCCCCCCCGTGACAAAATAAATTATTTCGAAATGCTTACTGCCCTGTTGTTAGCAATAATTTCTCGACTTTTGAGACAGTACAGCCGACTCAGTGTTCATGTCACTAGGCTGGTCAAGTGTCCGTCAAAAATACTGAAAGTGGCGTTATGGACGGAAAATGCGCCTGATAACTAAACTCTCGTATTACCGAGGTGACCTATTGTATAACGGTAACATATAAGCCCTCGTACCATTTAGTGTTACGTAATGAAACCAGCGAGAGATGTAAAGAGGTGCCAAAAGAACTGGGTTGTTCGGCTGTGCAAACTCGTTACAAGTATAATATAACAATGGGAATTACTCAAGTGTGTAAATCAACAGGTGATGCACTAAGGATCTTAATTAGTGCCTACATTTTACGCAGGGGCCGCATCTGCGAACGAGTATGCTGGTTCAGACAACCGTTTCTGTAAGAGATACGGGACATGAAAGTTACAAAATTATATTAGAAATAAAGCTGTGTTGAGAGGGAGCCCAGCAAAATCGTTTTGCACGCAACACCCTTAGTCACCACGAAATAAAACATAAGCTGTGTTTACTGACTTAGACTGTGATATTCATTCGCACTGTGACCTTTCCGTGGAGATGGATTCTTGGAAACCCACCCGTTACGGGGCGTCGTTTCCATGGATACGGGGTACGGGTGATCAACAAACATTTCCGCGGATACGGAAATGAAAGGTGTCTTCTGTTTGTCCGTCCCGACGTTACATAGCACGAATCCCAGATCGAGTCG